GGGGTGGCAAGGCTGTCATTTAGGGTGGCATTTGCCACCCTATGCCACCCCAGTAGATCCGCCTATGCAAGTAAGGCTTTTCTTCACACATTGGTTTCTTAGAAATTACATTTAAGCTTCCATAGTGTATATTTAGGTGTTCCTATGGTATAAATATGACCAGTTGGAGAGGTGTGTTTCTTTAAACGGCTGGCCGCCAGGCTTGGCTGAGCCCCCTTATTTATCCTGCCACTACACACAGTGGGGAAGAGGCTTAGATTGGTATAAAAACAAAGCTCACTGTTGAAGAAACGGAAGCAAGGAGTGACAAGGTCACCAAGTCTCCTTAAAAATTACAGGTTTGTTAATAGCAACTCTTGTTCTGGAGTCTAGGTATTCAACCTGTGTTTTAAATCAGCAATTTTCTGTAATTACACCAGACTTCACATTACAGTTAACATTGGTGTCACCTTTAAGGTTATATCGTTATTAGTGTACACCTGTCAAATAAATTCAAGTTATTTATTTTGCCTTATATATGATGAAAACTTTAAGTGGTTCCAACAAATGATTACAAACAACATTTGAGGAAAATTTTCCAAAGAATAGAAATTCACCAATCCAGTTTTGCTCTGATCCAGTCCGATACCTGGGCTGAGCATATCGACAGATATCAGATTCAGCTGCTGAATGGATGAACCATTTATCCATATATTGCCATGTAACTGAAGACTTTAGCCTTGATGTGAACATTGTTTAAAAAAAATGTGACACATTGACACAAATATAAATGCACTTTATATTATTTTTAACAAATAATCAGCAAAAATAAATAACAGTTCAATGTAAAGTTCACTGGAATGAAATTTCTGATATTTAATATGAAATCACTGATATTCTATACAGCGATTAGACAGTTTTAAAGCCCATATCTGATCCAGGGACAGGATCGGTGCATCTCTAGAAATGAATAAGGAAAATGAACCGCTAACATGACCTAGTTTTTATTTTTGAGGACCACAACAAATAGTTATCAAATACCTCAGGAGACTGCAACTAGAATGCCTGATTTTTATATAACTAAATCATATGTATTTCTAATGGCTTTTTGCGCTTGGGGTGTATTCACACCAAAAAACAGTCTCTGAGTTTAGCGGAAGTAGGTTGAGGACCCAGTGCAAAGGGAAAAAAGACCAATGACCAGAAAACAAAGAATGACCAAGTGGAAAACCATATTATAGGGGAATGGATTGGAGAAAATCGAAAAAGCCACCAAACGGAAATAGTTAACTAAGATGTAACTCAAAACAGGATTAACATGTAGCCTAACAGTTAACACAGGGGTCCGTTTCACGAAGCAGGTTTAGCAAACTCAGATTCAAATCCGCAACTCTTAAATTGATATGCCTAAAGTCAGGAACTCTGAGTTTTCTGTTTAACAACAGCTGCTATGAATTAGTTCAATTAACACCAAGTAGAACCACGCACGTGCGTAACAGGTATGAAAAGCCATTATCAGTCGCACCCAGATTCGATGAGTAACCATGGCAACATGAAGTGCCTATTTCAAACCACTGGAACTAGAGATTTTAAAGCAGAAATGAAAAAAATGG